AACCTGCTAGGAGGTTTATTTGATCGTAAAGGTGACAAAAATTACTAGGAACTATTTAGGAAGGATCGTTAAGCTTGACGAAAATAAGTGAGGGGCAATGGAGGGGTTACTTAAAAATCGGGGTTTGCTTAGTCATAGGAAAGCCTCTTAGGAAAAATATGAAGGTTCAGAAAGTTAACGAGGACAGCTTGTGGGTGGATTTCAGGTAGGAAAAGCTACCCAAATTTTGCTTTGCTTGTGACATTATTGGCCATGTAAACAGCAAATGGCCTCAGGTGCCCGAACAGCCAAACTAAACAAACTAAGGAATTCAGGGAGCGAATGAGAACAAACAACAGTCACAATGATGGTGGTGGGGGAATAGGTGGCCATTTCTTGAGAAAGGAAATATGCATGGAAACAACATTGGTGCTAGCATGGCGACGCCCACATTGGGGAGACCTTAATGGGTGTTAGTTCTATAACTTATTCATGTGGAGATATTGACACTGTGAAGCAGGAAGAATACACATTGGTGGGTGAACCAAAGCGGTGTAGGATGGAAGAGGAGATGACCATAGAAGCAAATAGAATGATGGAGATGGATATCACTGAAAAGAAAACGAGATTGGCGTGAGCTCCAGATAAGAGGCTCGCCGGTAAATGTGAAGACTCGCTATGCGAGTGGGTAGCTCTATTTATTTCATTTTTAGTTTTATTCTCAGACTCTGTCAGTTTTCTATTGTTGCTTTGTTCTTTTATTTCATTAATAAAAACATTAGGATGCTTTAAAAAGGGCTTTACCTAATGTCAAAATACAATTTGGAAGGGAAATTTTGAAAATAAAAAGGTCATATTCAATTGCTTAAGGATGGTGATTCCAATTCACACTTCTTTCATTCCTTTGTAAATGTTAGGAATAGAAAACAACAAATTTCTTCTATTCTTAACTAAACAAGGCAGGAGGTGACCGATTTACCTAGTATTGGCCAAGAAGCGGTGGATTTCTTTTCCAAATTTTACTCCATAAAAAACAATGTTGATGCCACTTAGATCCTGCAATTTATTCCTTCATTAGTTAATCCAGAATATAACAATATGTTGTCAAGTATTTCAGGGGAGGAGGAAATTTAAAAAGTTGCATGGAATCTTAATAAAAACAGTGCTCTTGGACCTGATGGTTTTAATGGAAAGCTTTCAAGAAATAATGCAATATTATGGGTATGGATGTGATTAGAGTTGTTCAAGAACTTTTCTTAGAAGTTCCCATTCCACAATTTACTAGTAGAGCTCATACCTAAGAGCATCCCCAATGCATTCAAGTCTAGTGTAGATAAAATGTGCCACATCATTAAATTAGACATTCATTTTTTTTCCCTCCCTCCAATGGTAATAGTCTTTGATTAAGTGGTGCTGATTTGGCAAAAAAAAAAACGAACACTGTCAAGGAGACTTTCTCAACTTGAACATCGTTCAAAACTTGCTGACAAAGGCAAACAGTACGTATTCACATATAATTTCAGTGACCCACTAACTACACAATTAATTAACTTCCCATGGAGAACGGTTGTAGAGACACAGATCTGGGGTTGAAAACTGAAAACAAATTCCACATGTACACTTCTCTTGGGTTTGAGACTTTATGCATTGGACGATTTTTTCATGTTTCAATATCCACCTAGTTCACTTCGTAGACATGATTTAGAAAGGCAATTAATTACTTGACATTTGGCACATTTTATTTAGACTAGAAAGTATTGCATGGTGGATGCTCTAAATCTGACAACCATCAATCCTTCTCATAGTTCAGACCCATCTGTCTTTCTAACTTCATTAGCAAAGATAATACTAGAGTGTTGTGTTCAAGACTGATTACGATTCTTCCTAGACTTATATCTCCAAAACGGGCTAGTTTCATGCCTAATAGAGAAATTATTGATCAGATTGGGATTGCCCAAGAGATGGATCACTCTATTGATAAGGAGGTGACATGATCTAATGTGATGATCTAACTGGACATGACTAAGACCTTTGACATTATAATCAAATTTGGCTTTGCTATTCAATTCGTTCAGTTGATTATAAACAACCAGCAAGCAAACTTTCTATTTGTGGTCATTAATGATATTCCTCGTGGATACATCAAACCTAAAGAGGGGGGTAAATCAAGGGGATCAATTATCTCCATTTTTATTTATTTTATCTTCTGGAGCTTTTTTCCAGAGGTCTGAAGTGACATTTGGAGCGTGATTCCATCAAACCATATTTGATGGGAACTAATGTTTGCCTTGTCTCACATTTGGGCTTTGGAGATTATCTACTAATCTTCATTAATGAGGGATTCTAGATCTTTATTAAATTTTAACAGATTCATTCAAGCGTACTAGAATGCTTCATGTCAGGAGTTAATAATCTAGATAATAGCTCCTTTGTTTGTGGCAAAGCATCTATAGGCAAAGAAAACATTAGTCAGAATTATCTCGGAATGAATAGGTCTTCACTGCCAATTAAGTATTTGGAAGTGAATTTGTACAAAGAGATAAATAGGTATCAATATTGTACTCAATTGATTAATAAGTTTGGAAATACGTTTACTCCTTGGAAACAAAAGAACTTATCATAAGAGGGCATATTGATTTTCATTAAACATGTGTTCATTTCCATTCCCTTACTCCATTTTCGCCATACATGATCAACTTTTCGTTTTTTAAAAATATTTTTTCTCAAATGCTACTAACCTTTAGAGCTCAATTTGATAATACTCAAAATTGATGGAATCTGTTTAATTTGCCAAAAAATGATGAATTTAGCTGAAATGCATGAATTTAGCTAAAATGTCTAAATTGACTACATTCAATGAATTATGAAGAAATCATATTCAAAACATATTTTGTTAATAATAGTAAAAAAAGATTATACTCCCTCCGTCCCCGAAACAACTTCCCGGTTTGACCTACACACATATTAAGAAAATAAACTTATCAGTGGGTAAATTTTACTGTGTGAACACTGTTTGACACTGTTTGACACTGTTTGCACTGTTTGGCACTATTTTTATGTAGATAACTTTTCCATTTAAATTAAGGACATCCAAATAAGGAAAATGAGAAGTTGTTTCTGGGACGGAGGTAATGTAAAGCAACTTCGACCTTTTTAACTAGAAAAATAACTTCAATATTACTTATTTTCCTTTTTGCGCAATCCAACACGTGAAATCAAGAATTATCTGTTAAGTAAAAATGTTATGGAACTGACCTAAATAGAAGTAAAAACTGTTGTATTCCAAAATAAGACTGTCATATTTCTATTTCTTAAATATAAGTAATTACTGCCATGTTTTAGTAGTACCAAATTTTAAATATGACAATATTTTTTAAAATTGACAATAATTATTTCTATTTGGAAAATAAAACACAATAATTTTATTTTGAAATTCAAATTTTTATACTCCCATTTCAAGATTTTTTCCGAAACATTAACATGAACCGGACTGCCAAGTACCTTATGGCGGGGTTTAATGCACCAAACCCCCTGTGATATAGAAATTTGGCGCATTAGCCCTCTGTGATTTAAAAAATGCGTCAAACCCCCTTGTGTTTTAATTAATCATGCGCCAAATCCTTTCTACGAACAAATTTAATTGTCAAATAAAAGAAGAATGATTAACATTTTTGTATGATTTAGAGATTTTGACATATTTACTTGCACATTCAATCCGAATATTAGGAAAAGTGATTTCCAAATCGTTAAATTTATTGATAAAATGGATTTTCTGCATGATTAATTAAAAAACGTGGGTTTGACTAGGGGTGGGTTCGGTTATTGCGGTTCGATTTTGACCTAAAACCAAATATAGAATCAAAGTAAAAAGTTCGGTTCGGTTTCAGTTCGGTTTTACACCAAAACTTGGAACCACGGTTTAATTGGTTCGGTTTGTTTCGATTCGGTTTCGGTTTTTTTCGGTTTTTTACCAAAAAACTATCATTTGATTTAAAATTGATATAGTACTCTGAGGGATCAAACATATATTACATAAAGAATGCAAGCACACTACAACAAATAAAATAAAAATGAAAATAAATAAACATCTCATGAATTATATGAGTATGCGAGAGAGATAAAAGTATATATTATTAATTTACATGGTTTGTAACTAGTTCAAAAAAAGTTCATGAGTATATACGTTATATGTGATATAGTTGAGATAAATATTTATTGTTTCATCAATACGAATTCTTTAAGTTAAATAAAAATAAAAGTTAATTAATACTAATAACAAGTAAAAACATATTATTAGTATGGCCACATTATTACGTGCAATGAATGTGTAAATGAATTCATAAACTAAACTAAACATAACAAATATTATTTCTCTAGCACAAGAAAACCAAAAACTATTAATGATATTAGGATTAGTTAGGATTAATGCTTAACAATGGACAAATAAATTTTATATTTTAACTAGTTCGGTTTGTTCGGTTCGGTTTTGAAGGGTAAAAACCAAAAGCGAACCAAACAACTACGGTTCGGTTCGGTTTTTTACATTCGGTTTCGGTTTGTTAGCGGTTCGGTTTTATTTGGCTACGGTTCGGTATGATTTGATTCGATTTTCGGTTTTCGATTTTTCGGACCCAGCCCTAGGTTTGACGCATTTTTCAAATCATAGGGGGCTAATGCGCTGAATTTCTATATCGGGTTTGGTGCATTAAGCCCCTTAGAGCATCTTCAATGCTATAATGTGCACGGTACACATGCGGCATGCGTCGTAGCCATATAAATATTAGCAAATAAATAATCTTTCTCCTTATTTGAATGATTTTATACAATTTTGGTAAGTTTTTCCCTGCAATGTCAACATCTAGACGGTCTCCTTGATATTGTGGAGAAAAACTTACAAAATCTATATAAAATCATTCAAATAAGAAGAGAAAGAATTTATTTACTAATATTTATGTGGTTATTTCCCAAAAAAGATAGTTATCTTATGCCGATTAAGGATGTTTACTCTTAAAAATAATGAATATTGTTCCAAAAACTAACGAAGTGCGATAAAGGAATACTCCGTAGAAGTAAAGCTAGCTGGGCCAGCTCGAACGCCAGAATCAAACACAAAATGGATGAGGCTCTGGTAAAAGATGCAAAATCTATAGCCGCTCCATTAGTATTCTTCGTTGTTGGGGTTTTTCAATTTCTGTCCCGATACGTCGAGCTGCAAAAGACGGTAAAGATTCCCCTATTTCTTCTATGATCAGGCCTTTTGCATTTAAAAAGAAATATTATTGTTTGATACCGTACCATTAATCAGTAGGTAAACGTATCAAACAATTCCAACAATATGCAACTGAAAGTTTAAAATAACAAAAAGATATTTTGGGATCGAAGGCTAAGTTAATTTTTTGCTTAAATGATTTGTAGAAAACATCCATATCTGATATGGATGCGAAGCTGAAAGCAGAAATTAAGCAGCTCATGAAGGAGGCCAATGCCTTATCACAGTGAGGGAATCTGGCTCTTCTTTGATACATCCAGTTTATACTGTTTTGGAAATATGTGGCATGCCCCGTTATTAAATGCGTTCTGTTATAAGGAATTAACGATTGATTTCATAGGATATGCATTTTATAGATAAAAACAGAAAATTTAAAATGAAGGCAATAATGTATGTTCCTGGCAGACCCATATTTTCTATGATGTTTGAGGGCAGTCGCTAAGGTGAAAGAATGGTGGTTTTTGTGTGTGTGTGATAAACACGGATCTCCACAAACAGTTTGAATTTGAACAATTGAGTGAAGTCATGTTCAGTCTACTGAGGATAGTGAAGTTAGGAAACACATTTTATATTTCATCATTCTGTTGATCCCTTGTTTGGTACATGTTAATTCTATTAATCCCCATAGAAACAGTATGGTCGCAGAAATACCAAATGTAACCATAAGTCCAAGAAAGTACTATCTAAAGAAAAATCTAAAGAACTATCTAAATTTATGAAGCAAATGCCAATTGGACTCTATGTGGATGGTAGTGCACATCTGTTTTACTTTTTTCCAGGAGAGCTCCAATAAATTTGTTTCTGTGGGGAAGCACCATAAGTCATGGAATGAAATTTGCTTGATATTTTGTGATATTTTCCAGTCTTTATCGTCTTTCATGGACACAATGTTTGAGTGGCATTTTCTGCATAACAGTTTGCTAGCACCTCTTTTAATATTTATCGTTATTATTCAGCTATTTCAACTTTTTCTTTTCTTAAATTTTCACCAAATTAATTTCTGAAGAGAGTTTATATTCTGAAATTGAAATAATAAATACACATTATAGAGGTTATATACTTATATAGTCTAGAAAATGTCACATGTTTTCCTCTCGATCAGGCCATCAACCTTTGCCCAAGCTGCAAAACTGAAAAGGACTGTTGCAACTAAGGAGAAGGAACTTGCAAAAAGTATGCTTTATTATTAAACTTTTACCTTTGTGTGCTAAATAAGGGATTTTTGTTTTTCTTTTCTACTACAAAGATTCCAGGAGATACAAGATTCAACATGATGGTTTTGATATTTTGATACCAAAATATCATCAAAAAAGACTAATGCAAATCTTCTCAAAAATAGCCTTAGGACCTGGTTCATCAGTGCTTGAAATGTAGATGGAGCATTAGTTAAACCAAAGGGCATCACCAAATATTCATAATGCCCTTCGTGTGTTCTAAAAGCAGTCTTTTTCCTATCTTCTTCCTTCATTCTAATCTGGTGGTAGCCAGATTTCAGATCCAGCTTAGAAAAAACCTTGGCATCACCCAGTTCATCTAATAGTTCTTCAATTATAGGGATGGGGAATTTATCAGGGACGGTTATTTTGTTTAAAGCTCTGTAATCACCACAGAACCTCCAGCCTCCATCTTTCTTTTTAGCTAGGAGTATAGGGCTACTGTAGGGACTAGTGCTATGCTGAATTATCCCTGATTGCATCATCTCTTGCACAATCTTCTCTATTTCATTCTTTTGGTACTGGGGATACCGGTAGGGTCTAATATTAGGTATTTTAGCACCCTCTTGAATGTTAATAGAGTGGTCACAATCCCTTATAGGAGGTAACCCCTTCAAAGGTTTTGTGACTTCTGGAAATTCTGCTACAATCTGTTCCCATATGGATTCCAATTCATCTTCCTTCTTTTCATTAGCTGCCTCCCCATTACAATATACAAAATAACCATCTCCATTATCTTGTATAATTTGTGATAAAGTCTTCAATGAAACTTCCATTGAGTTTAGTTTTGGATCCCCTTGTATTGCTTTTTCCAGTCCCATTTGTCTCCATTTGATAGTCTGCTTCTGGAAATTTATCTCCACATCTCCTAAGCTGGTTAACCATTCCATTCCTAATACCACATCAGTTCCTCCCAAACTGAGTATATAAAAATTCTGTGTGATATCAGTGTCTTGCAAATTCAGAACTACTTCATCACACCTTCCATTATTTCGTATCTTTTCACCATTTCCAATCTGTACTTGGTATCCAGATATTGTTTTGAAAGGTAAATCTAGCTGTTCTACCAATTTCTGTGAGATGAAATTATGTGTGGCCCCGCTATCAATCAACACTTCCACTTGCTTATTTCCTTTCTTCCATTTCAGGTTTCCCTTCACTTTAAAAGCTCTCATAGTTGGTATCCCTTCTCTGCTCATGAGAGATAGCTGTAGAGACTTGGACTCCATTCCTTCTTCAATCTCTTCTTCTGAAATCACAGGTTCTTCCTTGTCTGAATCTTCCTCCACTTCTGAATCTTCCACCAACATCAATTTATAATTCTTCAATTTGCAGGTGTGCTCTTTATTCCATTTATCCCCGCATTTAAAACATAATCCTCTTCTGCTTCTTTCTTGATATTCTTCCTGAGTTAATTGAGGTCCCACTTTCTTTATTCCAGAAGGTTGTATCTCTGTAAACTTTTTTCCCATAGAGGTGAATACAAAAGGATTGCCTCTGTTCTCCCCTGTACCTTTGCCCATGTGGTTGTATCCAGAATTTCCAGCTTTGGACTTATAACTATCTCCCCAATACTGAGTTCTGACCCCAGTAGCTCCTTTTTCTTTTGTTCCAGATCTGTCCTCCTCTTTCTTCTTTCCTTGTAGTATATGATTTTTTTCCTCTATCCATGTGGCTTTATCCATAATTTCAGATAGAGATCTTGAAGCGTACAACTTCAACTCCGCTTTGATTTCTTCTTTCAGACCTGCTATGAAAACTCCTCTCAACAATTCCCTATCCATATTCCTTTGATGTGAAATTACTTTCTCAAATTCTTCTCTATATGTCTCTACTGATCCTGTTTGCTTCAGACTAAGCATAGGACCATATGGATTCTGCGTCAATTCAGGTTGAAACCTGCGAATAACAGACTTCTTCAAGGTTTCCCAATCAGTCTCTTCCGTCTGATTCTCCCACACATTAAACCAATTCAAGGCTTTATCTTCCATTGCAACCATGGAAGCTTCTACTTTTTCCTCTTCATCAATATTATTCAACCGAAAATACCTCTCCATACGAATGATCCAATTATATGCATCAACTCCATTAAACAGTGGTAAATCTATCTTTCTACCATGTTGCACAGGTATACGACGATGATTAGCCACATTTGAGTAAACGGAATTACCTCGAGAACCGATAGGACTGTTCGAGCGTGGTGATCGATGATGATGTATCGATCGTGATCTCCTTCTGTTACGTAGCTCATCGTTCATCGCTTCCATCCTTTCCGATAAAGTCGCGATCGCGGTTTGTACTTGTAACAGCGTTTCTTGTGTAGTTGCATTATTACGTTCCATCGTCACCTGATTTCTTTCCATCGCGATATGACTACGCTCCATAGCTTCCAACCTTTGCTCCATTTTTGCTCTGGTACGAACCATTCACCACCAGAACGTAAAAAATTTTCTGGTAATTGCTACACAATTTCCGACTCCCAGAAAGATTGCTCTGATACCAATGATAGAACACTGGTAGTAATTCGATTCAGAACAATTGAAACAATCAAAGAAACTTGTCAAGAACAATTTACAAAATCTGTTTTATTGAACAAGAAATGAATTCAAAGAAGGAACACAATCAATAGACAATTTCGAGCTGCCAAAACTCCCAGATCAGTCCCAATTAACAAAACAGCCTACTCAACATTAGCCATCTCCTTCTATTTATACTCAAAGTCCACGCAGGGATAAGGCTAAACTAACTAACAGAAAGTCAAACTAACTAACTGCTATATTCTTTCTCCTTTGATACACATTTTTAAAGTATTTATTGGGCTGCCTCTCCTTGTGTCTATCAGGTTTTCATAGAAACTGTGTCAAATATAAGTTAAGCTCAAAAATAAGTTGGGCATGGCAATCAATTTGGAGCTTGGAGTGCTCATTTCTCATTTGTGAACTTTTTCTTCTTTTACTTACAAGTTACAAGTGATGTTATGTAGAACCTGTATGTTACAAATTTGTGTGTGTTGGATGCTAGTATAACTTTGGAAGAGAGCGAAGCGGAAAGAGAATGTACGTGGGAGGATCAATCTCATTTATTTATTTATTTTTAATGTTTCTTATCTCCTTTATGTAATCTTTTTTATCTTTGTCGTAATCATCTTTTTTTATCATTTATTATCTTTTTTTATCTTATCGTGTCTTTTTATCTTTTTAGCTTCAATTTCATATGTCGATTCATGTTAGCTGACCCTGAACTCTTTTGAGACTAAGGTTTAGATGTTGTTGTTGTATTGTTTGGAGGATCTATCCTCAGAAGCTATCTGTGCATCTCTGTAGTGTATATATACTACTGTGGATTCTTTTATTGTTTTTTTATAATGGTTTCTCCAAGTATCATGCAGATCAAAGGATCCATAGCGAGGCGATAAAAATGTCCTACGATATGTACACAAAGTTCCTATTAATTTTAAAGGTAATGCATGAAGTCATGCTTTGAAAACTTCATGCTTGTGTCATTGTGTGGTTATTATTGCTTAATATATGTGCTAAAAAGATGTCCAGCTACCCTTTTCAGATCATCACGTACTCTATGCTCCTTATTTGGTTTTGGCGTATGCCTGTGGCTTCTGTATCTAAGCAGCTGGTACAACCTTTTGGTAATTCCCTTTCCTTTCATTTATTTGCAACAAGCATTGGATGCTTTGTTTGTTTATTACAGTACACCTGTCACTCTGTCCTCTCACCCCTCACTCCCAAATAAAAGTAAGTGGGGTATAGTTACTATTTAGCTCATAACAACGGCATTTGGAATTTATTGAATCACAATATCAGGGTTGGTCACCTCATGTTAATCCTTTATGCAATTGTTATCTTTTGGCAGGTAAAATGCTATCATGGCGAGCAGGAGATTTTGTAAATGACAATGTCATGGTAAATATTGTTAACTTATTGTTTCTTTTGTATAGTCTTTCTCTTTTTGTATAGTTCAATTGGGATCCAAGTTTATATAAAGCTGTAAAAAGTGCTAATTGAGGTTAGGTAGGACCTAAGTGCAACTAGGTGGGGCTAAGAAGGGAAAAAAGATTAGGTGGCCAAAGAAAGACAGTGCTTAGGCGTTACTTTAATACGGGTTCATGGATTTTAATAACAGTAAGATTAGTTTGTCAGATATGGACTGGTGCCCTCAGGCTTCCTATTAAGTGGGAGATGTTTCAGCAGCTTCATTAACTACTTGGTCTTGCTATCTAGCTTATAATGAGCTATGAGCTATCGAATACCCATTGTAGCAATCTTTTAAGCTGTTTACACTTTCTAATGCTTTATTGTCATTGGCCTAAATGGCTTGTGACAGATTTGGAAGATCCACCATAGAACTTGCATTTTTTAAAAGCCAAATTGGAAAGACCCGCCATCAGCCTATAGATATAATTTCATTTTGTGGGGTTTGTAGTTCTAACTTAGGAATGACCAAAGGGTTAATTACTTAATTCTAGTTTTAGTCTTTTGGTTACTCTGTTTTTCAATTTCAGCGTTTCAACATCACATTTGATCAAATTGATGCATGGTTTTGTATTTTTTCCTCAACCCCAAATGGGAGCCAAATGTGCTTACCCAATTCTACGCCTCTTTGGTGTCTTCTTATTTCTTTGTATCAACAATCCATTTGTTATGATCAAGAACTGACTTATTTTGCTGATAATGACTTTAATGCACAACTTTTTTTTTATTACCAAAATGTCTGGAAATGTTATTTTAAAATATCCTTTTAGATACTTTCAGTTTACCAAGGGAAATTAACTTCAACAATTTTTTATAGTTCAATAGTTAGATAACTTCAGGGATTTTAGCTACAACTGTTAACAAACCTTTTCATCTATAATTGCGCTTATGAAACATGGTCCTAGAGTCTTACTCAACTAACGTTGACAACTGAACCATTTTTAATATTGATGAATTTTGAATAGAGCGACCCTGATTGAAGATATAACAATAATTTGTGGATGAGAGAAGTTTTTTGGGTAAGGTTGCTCAATTGAGTGATAATTCTCACCAAAGATTTGGATATTATTTTGGGCTAGTTACTACTACCCCAGTTTTACTAGAATAACATTTCCCCCATGTGTTTTAAAATCAATTAAGTTAAAAAATCAAATTATAATTATCCCCACGATATGTTTCAAATCCATTTGTCGGCTACGTCTAATTAGTTTGTTTTTAAAGAAAATGAAATCATCATTAGAAACTCAAAAATGCCAACAATGATTTTATATTTATACAAACACACATGTACACGCATATATAGAATTTGGATAAAAATGAGAACATAATGTAAGGAGAGAAATGAGAATGAATCTGGTGTGTTAAATATGAGAGTTGTGCATTATGTGAAACGGAAATGTGCACTGCCATAAATCAGAAAATGTGGTGGCATTTTTGTAAATAAATAAAAAAATTGCCAATTTGAACAGTGCATTATCTTAATCATAAATGTGCACCGTTGTGATTTGTGAACCAGAAAGTGCATCATTTTGGTTTGTTCTCATTTCCCACGGGAAGAGTCGTTCTTACCATAACCGTATCCTATATATATATATATGTGCAGATGTTGGAAACATAATAAAAAGATTTCATTGTCAAGATTTTTATTATCTATAAATTACTTTAATTACTCTGTCCATCCCACTATTTTTTGTCTCATTATTTTGTCCGTCCTAATAAGTTTTCCTCATAATTTATATGGTAACACACTAATAAAATTTTATTGTTCCAAATCATTCATACTTAGTAAATTCAATATAAACAACACAATCCTAAAAAAAGATGACACTCTAGAACCGGACGGACAGTTATTTGAGACGATGTAAATTGAGTTTGATCACACACGGGGGAAAGAGAGTGAGGTTACAGCCCGAGGCACTGTTTAGAGTTAAACCGGGGACCCCTCTCCCTTGTGAACAAGTGTTATGCCCCTTCCCACTAGGTGAGCTACGCCCCCGACGAACAACACAATCCCACAATACTTAATATGCGTTCCAGATTCTTATGTTCTAATCTAAAGATAGTGGGATGGCGTGAGTACATACAAATTACATCTGTTGTGACTTAATTACGATTACATGATATAGGATTGATTGATATTTTTATTGTGCTTATTACGAAAATGGTTTTTGATCTTGTAGTTATACATTATAGACAATTACATTGATACTCTGTACAAGGGTCAGTTTTACTACTGATTGATGCATATATATTATGTCGTGTTATTTACTAGTCATAGACTTTTGTTGAATTGAACAGGTAAATATTTATTAGAGAGGAAATACTAAAATAAACTGTGTAATTTATTCATCTTACATACATTTCCATGACCTAGCCTAGTAACATACATAGTACGCCGTACTAAATTGTAAGGTCAACTAGATATCTATCAGCTGAGTATCTTATCATGACAGTAGCAACATATATCATTATATTACATTTTTAGTATTTCCATCATTTGTGCCGATGATTAGAACCATCACAAAATTTATATTTAGGATAACTTATTGATCATTAAAATTATTTTGTTAGCTTTAGAATACTGTTTCTACCTATAATTTGGAGGTAGTGATTATTTTGATAGAACATAAGGGATAAATAGATGATTTTTGAAAACATAGGGTACAAAAGTAGTTTTGACCAAACCTGGGGATTGATCGTAATTAGCCTTAAAAGATGCCCTTGCCCTCCCAAAGCACCTTGTGGGTTAATATTTTTCTTACTTGGTTTTGGTATATGCCCACTTTGAATATCTTCAAGAGACTTGAGTTTCATGGTTGTCCATTTGTCTCCTGCTTGTCTATTTTTGCTCTATTCAGATCTTTTTTGCTGTTGTTGATAAACATATGTTGTGATTGTAGGTTGGTATCATTCCATGGCTCATCCTGTGTACGAGGGTCAGTAAAATTATTTGCCGGAAAGTTCTGAAATAGGATATAAATATGAGCAACCAGTCTTTGTGATATACTTTCATATTTGCCCACTTTCTAGTAACTTGGATACACTCAGGAATGTAAGCCAATTTTAGTTCTGGCACACAGGTTCTGATAACATTTCTAGCAAGTAAATATTCTTTTGAAGTATTCAATTGCGTGTTAATTAAGCTCAAGTAGTACTGCCACCTTAAACAGGGGTAGGAGTGAGTAAATAACTGATAAAGCCAAGACCCAAACTGAAGGAAAACATTAGTTTAGGCTGGTAACCAATACTGCCGTCATCTTAAATCTTTTTGGGCACAAAAATTTTAAAAAGTTAAACACATTTCACCTATTAGTTTTTTGTAGAAGGTTTACTCTGTAACTCTTATCACAAAACATTATTTACACTTACATTTAAGGCTAAGATTGAAATCTATATAAAAAATACCAAAAAGAAAGTGATATTATGAATTTGGGATACCTAAAAGGGAAACATGATACTACGTAGTATTAGATAAGATGAGACAGGGTTGTAACTTGTAAAGGCATGTCAATTTTACCCACGTCTTCTCATGTTCTTTTTTCCGTTCGATATGGAGGCAAGGCCCGAGACCGGCTCAGGTTGCCACCGGATCTGGTTCGGGCCGGGTAATTTATTTTTGCTTTCCTAACTACCCCTGACCCCCGCTCAACCCCCAAACATCAAGCCCAACCCGGGGAAATCCAAAAAGAAAAAAAATAGTTTTGGCCCGAACCGGGTAGGGGTGGACCGGTTCCGGTTCGGGCCCGGTTCGGGCCTGGACCCGGCCGGGCCTCGGTTCAGAAAAATGAGGCCCGAGCCCGAACCGGTGGTGGGCGGTTCCGGGTCCGGTTCCGGGCCAGACCGGGCCGGGCCACCCGGATTTTTAATTTTTTTTTTCTTCTTCTCTTATTTAACCCCCTGCCCCTCCCAAACCACCCCAAACCACCTCAAATGGTCCAAAATACCTAATCCAACCCAAAACTTAAAAAAATTTCCAAAAAAAAAAAAATCAAATTCCGGCCCGAACCGGGCCCGGCCGGTTCACTAAACTGGAGGCCCGGGCCCGGACCGCTATACCACCGGGCCGGGAGGCCCGTCCCGGGCACGAACCGGTTCACCGGGCCGGTCCGGGCCCGCACAGTAGCGGCCCAATCCGGTTCCGGGCCGGTTGGCCCGGCCCGAGTCCACCCCTAGAACCGGGCTCAGGCCGGGCCGGGCCGGGTCCCTATTTCTGCAGCTTGAGTCCGCCCCCGCTTAAGCCTTCAAACCGGGTCAAGGACCGGTTTCAGGCTCGAAGCACCGGTCCCGCACAGTAGGTCAGTAGCGGGCCGGGACGGTTCCCGGGCCGGGTGGCCCGAACCGGCTCCATGCCTATCGGCTAGCAACTAGTTAAGCATTAAAATTCCCGGCATTTCATTAATTTCATTGGTTCAGGAATGGTTGGCCCGCCGCAACACCATTGCATAACAGGTGATGTGCATGGGCAAATTATAAGAGAGACAGTGTGGTGTATGATACTCATAAGGAGTTGTCATGTTGTATTTCGATGATTCGTTATCAGCATACTGAAATTTTTAGTGTTTTTATTAAGTCTTCAGGGGGTAAGGGGGTCGGGTACGGGCTGAAGGAAATGAGAACCGGCCGGCCGGTCCCGGGCCCGGTTCTGGCCTTTTCAATTTTTTTTGGTTTGGGGCTTTGGGCTGGGTTTAAATGGGCTGGAATGGGTGTTTCAGATGTGTTTGTGGGATGGGGGGATGGGGGGTAGGGGATAAAATAATCAAGAAAAAAAATAGAATCGGACCCGACCCGGACTGGCACCGGTCAACCTCCGGGCCGGTCCCGGGCCTCACTGATTTTTTTTGGCCCGGCCAGGCCTAGGCCCAACCCGGGACCGGACCCAGTTGAGTCCATGCCGAAGTCTTCTAATGATATTGAATTATCAATCTATCTTGTAGTTTAGAATTAATGGTTGGGTATGCTGTTCTAACATGTAAGTGGGATATATATATTTGAAAGACCGACCGAATGTTGGACAAAAACAATTAAAGGAAATTGTTGGATAAAAACACTCAACCAATACTTATGATTTGATGAATATGCATAAATACACACGTTACACACGCTTTGCTTAATTTGCAGACATACAAGTTACATAAACAAGTTTTACTTTGAACTTTAATACACACAAAAAAACAGTTTTGGACGTAAATGGGGATAACGAGAAAAATTAAAGAACTACTACCTCCGTCCCGTTCCGGAAGAGGGTGACACAATTATTAAGAAAAGTAGGTTTGTGTGGTTGATATTAATTGATAAAGTAAGAATAAAGTAAGAATGATTTAGAGCCACACAAACTTTGCCAAATATGGTATGATACAATTTAAGTGAGACTTCCCGAAAAGGTAAAACGGAACAATATAAATGGGACGGAGGGAGTAGTAACTAATGCACATGGAGTGACAAAAAGCAACTTAAAAAATTCCACAGATAATATCTACATCAACGAACATCAAGTTTTATTGTTATATTGAAATTAATGAACTGTTGCTTCACTTGAAAACTAAAAGTGATTACTTTTTACATGACACTGATCTGAGAACCTTCATACACTAGTGATATGTTTACTATAATAAAACAATCAAAGAGAAGGTAAGTAGCCATCCCCTTAGCAAGAGGCAAAGACGCTTGAAGTTATACACTAAGAGAAAGAATCAAATATGTTCTCTTGAATCTAATTCTTCCAATAACTAAAGGTTTATATCAAGTCATTCACTTCTATGACTGCATCAGTTCCGGAAACGCACACATCTTCCTGAAATGGAATTGTCTTCCATACTTTCATTGATTGACTAACTTCACCTACAGAATTGAGAATAATATTAACTTACAACATTGTAGACAACTCATACTCATAAATTTGCAGATAATAGTTGTGTCTAAACCTCAGTTGCACAACCTTTTTTGGTGCAAATGGCAGCATAATGGGAACCATCTAACTCAATAAGTGCAAACTGCCAGCAACTCATTATTTTTTTAGGATGGTCCTGTTGATCTACTGCTGTTTCAAGAGCCTGCGCTTTTGAATCAGAAAAGTTAAATGGAGATATATGATTGCAACAACAACAAAATCCAAGCCTTAGTCATAAAAGATTTTGGGGTCGGCATGGAGATATATAATTGCAAACCACTAAAAAGAATGTTGTGTGGGAAGAGAAACTAAAAACTGTTTGGAAGCGAATATTTGGATAGAAAGTAATGTTTAGGAAAGTGAGTCTTAGATTGATATATATTGCAATATCATTAGAATAATTTGAAGCTTGTCATTAATTCTAATGAAAGGTTTTGACTGGTACTACACCTTTTCGGTTTCTCAACTTATCGGCCATATTTACTGAACCTTTGGGTATTATTTTTTTTGACTGGAAAATGCTTATATTAAGACAAATAAGGCCAACAGCCCAACATCCAAACCTTCTGCTACTCCTCTCTGAACCTTTGGGTATTGTGTCCCCTAAATATTTTTAAAAATTAAATGTTTTTCTTATAATCAACCTTTATTCAACCTTTTCAACCTTTTCAAACACTAAAAAATCAAAACATTCAACCAATTATTTCAACAAATTTACCCTCCACCAGATAGGCTTTTTACATACCTTGTAATCAGAATTCAAATTGACAAGAGAGCTTCTTTCGGAAGAGGGCCTAAAACGAAGAGTAAATGTCTTGAATGGAGATCCTGAGAAGCCTACACCCAGTGCTTTGACATATGCTTCCTGGTAGCAAATATTACGTATAAGTGTATAACACACTAGAAATGTTTGTGCAAAATGTGACAGTCACGCATTCACATAAACTGACCTTCATGGTCCATAGCTTTATAAATTCCTGGTGTTGAGCTTCAGAATCATTTATTGAACTTAAAAATTCAAATTCGGGCCCTGATAAGTATCTCCGAGCTAAGCTTAAAATATTGTTTTTTACTGCCCTCTGCTTTTCTTCTACATCAATACCGATCTACAAAAGGAAAACATTGGTGCATTGCTACTTCACAAATTTTTACTGAGACATACTATTATTATATTAATTTATCAGTAATACTCCATCTTAATAAAGAGTTTCATTTTTTATACACCAATGGGGTATTACAAACATGACTCCTTTTTTAAAGATGGGAAGAAACATATCCTAAGACCCTATTCAAATTGAAGGTTATGAAGAGGAACAAGAGAGGCTTTGGAGGTCTTAGTCTATATTATGATATATACTTGAGATTTTATAAATTTGAGATATCAACATAATATTGTAAGCGTAAAATATTTCACTCATCCTTTTCCATTTATATTCTATTGCTTAAATTAAAGACTAAACCCTCCAAAGTCTTCTGTTCAAAACCTCTTTAACCAGACAGACCCTAAGTAATCCACGTCTGATACATGAAGAGTTAGAAAACTAACCGGGGAACCACCCGTTACACCACATGCTACAAGAGAATTGGTATGTGACATATTGAAATGCAATGGGGGTGACAGCCAATGATCACTGTGTTGCCATTCTACCTATCATGATTATTAGATAGGTTGCCATATATCACATCAGCGTAAATAAAGAAATAAATCTACAAAAAAAAGAACTAACTTCAGGCTTCCCATAATTGTTCTTTCTAAATTTCAGAGATCTCGGATCAACATGAGAACTGATTTGATCTAAGCAAAACCAGTATTAACAAAAAAAATCACAGCTTCATCACATACACAGCAGAATCCCATAAAATAACATCAGTGGAATTAACTTACATCTGGCAATGGTTGTACGGACTAATGTTCGAGAAAGCAGTGCAGTCTTCTTGTGCTCATCTCCGGCCATACGAAGCACATTTTCCTTCTCAGTTGGTGACAAAATTTCCACGTATTTTTCTAACAGTGCCTCGCTCTTCACTTCATTGGGTTTTACATACCATAAATGTGTTTCACTAAGATTTAATAAGGAAAAACTATCATCAAGAAAGCAAAATACCAAAACAGTTCATCGGAAAATGCAGGTTCTCTGTCAAAAGTAAAAATAAATCAATCATCAGTCGTCATTTACCCAGTGCCGCAAAGGCTCCCACCTACGGGGGCCGGATGTACGCAGTCTTACCCCTGTACTAAAGCACAGAGAGACTGTTTCCGGATGACCCATAAAAGTAAAAATAAATATAAAAAGAAAATAATGAAAGGCATAGGGTGTTATGGAAGAATACTTTGGAGACGGGAGTTGAATGGGAGTCAAATGCGGAAAAGTGAATAGTTTCCGACAAAAGCTGGACTGCATCCTCATTTCAGGACTAAACCCTTCCACAGTGAAAAGGCATGAAATCAAATCAAAATTGAACTTTCACCTTTCACTGAAACGGAAACCCAAAAATATTGTATGGAATTAGAAAAACTTGATGATGAAACCCCAACTCTTACCAGGTGGAAGATTCAGGGGCATCTTGAGCGTTTAGGAGGCCCTAGACAGAAAAATACTTACTATGCACATATCATATTGAAAATGAGATAAATTAAATAAAAACACCATATACAAAAAGATATTCAAAGTGCACGGCATAATGCTTTTAATATTGAAAAGGACAAGTTTTTTAAATGCAAACATATGTAAAATACACTGCAAATTTGTACCTGTAACACCCTATGGGCCTATTCTTCTTGCCTTTTGAAGTGCAAATCAGTAATCACATCACTTTATAGATAATAATACCTACATAGTACATATTTATAGATAATACAAAAATCACAAACAAATCAATTAAAAAAAATCTAAAACTTCTAAATACAATGACAAATTAAACAAAAAAACTACTTGACTAGTACTAATACCATCAAATTAATCATTTCATGTATTTTACCACTTAAATTAATTAATCAATTATATTTAACATTAAGCAATTTAGGAATTTAACGTAAATAGTAAAAAACAATTGTCTTTACTGCTTGAGTGCTTCTGTGCTTGTTTGCCGTCTGCTGTAGGCTTCAGGCCTTCTGGCTTATCTTTGGACTTATGTATTTCACTATTAATTGACTAATGTCTAAATTCTAAATGTTAAATACAAAATCAATCGAATGAAAGAAAGAGACAGAGAGTAATACGTAGTAAGATACTAAGAGAAGGACTGAAGGAGAGAACTAGAGAAGTCGGAGATTCACTCACCCTAGTCGGCGTCAGGAAGCGGCTCCGGCGAGGCGTTCGAGCGGTGGCTCGCGGTCGCTGCCGTGCTTGGGGAAGCCGATTCCGGGTTGCTGCTACTTCAGATGCCGGTCGCTACTTCGTAGTTTTCTTTTAGGCCCATTGGCAGGCCCAAAGGCAATTGCCTCGTTGCCTGGCTCGACTGGCCCAAAAGCCGCCAGGAGATTCCTAAATTGGACCGTTTGGAGACTAATTACTAGACAACTGACAATTTGATCACTTCTTATACTTGTTTGTTTGAGTCTTGCTCGAGCTCGATGATTAAAAATTACTACCTCTGCCCCCTAAATTTGGGACAAAAGAAGGTGACACGTTTATTAATAAAAGTGAGTATATGTGGTTGATATTAAATTGATAAAGTAAGAATAAAGTAAAAATGATTTAGAACCACACAAATTTTATCAAATAAGGTATAAGACAATCTTAATGGGACGGACTGAAAATGTAAAATGGGACAATCATAACGGAATGGAGGGAGTATTACCTAGTATGTTCTCTTCCCTCGAGGGATAGACCTAGTCATGGACTTGGGTCGGGCCGCCCGGCCCGGAACCGGCCCTGAACCGGTATTGTTTGGGCCCGTCCCGGCCCGGCCCGGTACCTGGTTATAGGACTGGTCTGGGCCACCCGAGCCCGGAAATAATCGGGCCGGGCTCGGGCCTCCTAAAAGTGGAACCGGCCCGGTTTGGGCCCGGAACCGGCCCAACCTTTTTTTTTTTGGTTTTTTCAATTTTTTTTGGTTTCTCCCGGGTTGGTCTGGGTGTTTTTGGGGGGTTTTGGGGGTGGGGGGGGGGGGTCGGGAAAGCAAAAGATTTTTTTTAAAAAAAAAACATGAACCGGCCCGGCTCGGAACTGGCCCGGACCGGCCCGAAACCGTTGCCTACCCGGGCCGGTTCCGATTCTTCCTTTTCAAAAAAAGCTCGGCCGGCCCCGGCCCGGTCCGGGTCCATGACTAGATAGACCTATAGACTTCACTTATCCCAATAATAAAAAATGTCGGCTTGAATGATACTGTATGAACTAAACCGTATTTACAAAATTCTACGTAGTATTATATTTAGATAATGATGGCTTTTCCCGGATGAAATGAAAATTCATGTAGTCGGGTGTTTAACTACATAAAAAAAAAGAATATGTAATTGAAAAACATCCACAATCTCTTCATTGATGAACAACTAGACATGTGTCAAGTATCTTGTGACGTGATATTACGGGTTCGAATCTATCTTAATTTAGAAGTAAATTATTTTAACATAGAACATATATTATAATCGGTTAGAAAGCACAACAAAAATGAGTAGGATTTCCAATTCACCAAACAGGCTGTTGCACGGCTGGGCAGTGGGTCCACTTCTTCACGGTCTCTAACTACATAAATTGGAGCTGGACGCTTCTTACTTGGGCCATTTCGGGTTTTCAGCAATTTCAGGTTTAAATCATTCAAGTTTTGTGATTAATTAGAAAACTTGTTTTAATGTAAAGATTAAATTATTAAACTTATGCTATTTATGAATGTTTTCTTTCAATATTTAATAATTTAGGACGAAAAGATATTTCAACAGTAAACTAAAAAATAAAGAAATTGGAAATATTGGAAGTAGTTCAGATGTAAATTCAAATGATTCCTCGTTATTAAATAAATAGTTTCTTTAATATTTTGCAGTTCTTGCTTGTTATAATTTTATATTAATTAAAGTTACATTAGAGATTACATTACTCTATTTTTTGAGTGGGATCAAGTTGCAATAACCCCAATGGCAATGACAATGATAATTGTCATTAGTAATTAATGATAACTATATGCAATTGCCCAAATGGTGGAGTAAATGTATTATGGTCATAACTTTGCTATAAATTTGCTCGAGTAAAAGGTAATGATTTCAAATTTTAAAAATAATAATTAATCTAATTTAATAAAAAGAACTAGTACATACGGAGTATATAGAAGGATAAAGATACAAATGTTGCACAAAGTTTTGCGAAGTACAAAAAAAAGCGACTACTTCATCTTTTTCTAAATATATAACTAACCTTTCGTTTAACTTATTATATACAATCTCTACCCCAACCAGTCCTCTCACACCCACCTAGCCGCTTCAGAATCCGCCATCGGAAATCGCCGCCGAAAATTTTGATGAATTCTTCTTCTTTTTCGTTTTTTCCAAAATTCGCCTAATTATATACCTTGTTAGTCACATTTTCCCTTAAATATGACTAAATTGAAGCACTCATATATTTTGAACTTTTCTTAAGTGGAAAAATATAAAGCACTCATATTTTTGAAATGTGGAAGCTTAAATGTTGTATTTGTGGCAATTTCCCTAATATATGCGTAGCATGTATGAATGTTGGGTGTTGTGGGAGCGCACTGTCAAACTGATTTTCCTTTTGTTGCAGTTGTTGTGGAATGTCGGTGAGGATTTAGAGTAGCCCTACTAGGCTACTAATACTTTTCTAATCAAAAGATTAAAGAGAGGTTACAGCCTTAACCACTCTCGGAGAAACCTTGGATTTAAATGGGAAAAGAGATATTAAATCCTTAGCTCATAAAATTAAACTGAAGTTGACTTTATGGATTCTTCTTTCTTAATTATGGACAACATTTTGGCAGATGTATATGCATGGATTTGTACAACAACAAATACGATAATATTTAATTTGTCCAGAAACGTTGTACTTGTATTTTCGTACGGAGCAAAATTAAACGCGGGGAGCAAAGTGTTCATGTGGGGGTTGACTACATGACTGAGTTCATCAATTATAAAAAACGTTTTCCAAACAAACAATATATGGTGTTTGGAACTGATTCTGGTTCTTTTTTAAAGCAGAAGCAGAATAAGAATCATTTTTCAGAAGCTAGTCATCCCCAACTTCCAAAAAAACTGATTCTAGGAGTAAATTAGAGCACCCGAATCACTTTTGCATTCGACTTTTGCATTGTTTTTTATTTTAAATGTGCATCATTTTGGAGTGTTCTCGTTTCTCATGTTAAAAAGTGTTCTCACCACAACTAAAGCATATATTTATGTATGTATATATACATATATATAAAGAAAAAAATTCGTATGTGTGCGTATACATAAGCACCCCTCAAATTTTTCTCTGATTCCGCCACTGCAGAGAAGTAATTAATAAAGGTAACGAGTTTTGTGAAAAATGCCTAAAAATACTCGTAGTATAAAATGGATGGAAAAGTAAGAAAGATGACATCTATCATTATATAAAAGCAAAATGTTTGTGGGAATAGTGTTCCCCCAAAATCTTTAGGATAGAAAGTGCATGACTGTAATTTACAATAATATCCCTGCTCAGGGGGATTGCACAACATTAATAGATAATGGGAAAATGTGAACAGTATCGATTTGATATTACATACTTAATTGACAATTCAATGAAAAGATTTGTGGTGGCAATTTGCTCAAAGGAAAACACTGCCAGGGTGCTTTTTGCGATTGTAATGGCATCTTTTACTTTCCAAAGAAATTGGCAGCTGATATCTTTTTGGGCGACTGGCCATATCAATATTACTGACATTACACCCGAGGAATCATTACAAGTTTGAGCCTGTGAGATCAATAAAGTATTCTCATTACTTCATGAGATAAAATAAAATTATACGAAGTAAAACAAATGCTAAATTTTACAGCACACAACCTTAGACATAACCTATTTCCTAGATATTATTATTAGGCCTACAATGAAGAGTGTTTGACAGCTCATTGTGGTATTTTTTTTTTACTAAAAACAAATACACACAAATACTATGTGTATAATGTGAATAAACAGTGCATCCAAGGTCTCCTATAAATACACTCATTTGCACTCATATTCGCCATTCAATTCTTCTTTCACTTCAACTAGCTACTATATCTACTAAAAATGGTTGGCATGTGGTCCTTAATAAGCGAGTTCCACCAATCTAAAACTACTTGGGCATTCAAAGCCCGAGCTGTTCGTGTCTATACCGTCCCTGCCCATGGCATTTACGGTGAATCTTTGCAGTGCATTTTCCATGACGCTGAGGTATTCACTTAACTGTCCAGATTGGTTTCTAATACATTAAGTATGTTACTTTAATTGCTAATTGCTAACAAGTAACAACTCTATATATAGGGAACAAAAATACATGCACACATTGCAAAATCAGAGGTTGCCAAGTTTGAGCACCTGTTTAGGGAAGGAAATGTTAATGCAATAAGAAAAGTCTTGGTGCTAGACAACTATATGAAGTTCAAGACAACAAGGAATGCTTTCAAGTTGTTATTCGTCAACCGAACTGATGCCTTTGAAATCTCTAACATTAATTTTCCAATGAGGATGTTTGACTTCACATCTATAGCTGCCTTAAAAGATGCTGAAGTTATAGACGAAACCTATGCCATAGGTGATTTTTTAAAAATGAAAATACATTTTCTTTTATTGATTTTTTAACCATACTTATTCATTAATTTATAATCACATATAAATTAATACATTAATTCATTCATAGATGTGATTGGCAAGGTAACTTCCATGTCAGACCCAAAGGACCTAACAAAGAATGGTAAACAAACGAGGTTGCTTGATCTTACCCTCGGTGATGCCAAGTACGTATTATGAATATGTAAAAATAAACAGTTAGCTGTAATTTTCGTTTTTGACATGCTTATTACATTTGTAGTGGAAATACAATTGCCTGCACTCTCTGGGAGAACATGGTAGAAGAGTTCATGGATTTTCTTAAAACAAAACCGAAGTCAATCACTCTTATTCTTCAACGCTGCCGTGCTAAAAAATTCCAGGGTATGTTGTAAAATGAAATACGATATTCGATTGGTTTGTTCTTAACAATGTATCTATTTAGGTCGGGTGGAGGTAACAAACATGTTCCATGTGACTAAGATGTTACTGAATAGCAACAGCGAGGAGTGTGCAGCTTTCAATTCCACGTAAGATTTTTTTTAGGTTATCTTCGTTATCACAGAAAGCATTTCTGACATTAATCTATGCTATAATAATTAAATAACAGGTTCGGTCCAGATAATGATGACGGTGGGGATGCTTTAGCCATAGCTACTTTTGTTACCCCTTCTTTTCAAGATGACCTAACTGCTGGAAAAGTTCAGTTGGTATCAATTGCAGATCTAATGAAAATGGAAGAGGTTGTTATATAATGTATTACAAAATTTCTTACCTTATTTGATAGATTATAGTCTGATTAGAAGTTACTATATACTTATAATAATAGGATGGAAAACACTGGATCTATGGAGAGATATTGACAATAGACAGCTACAGAGATTGGTACTACATATCTTGCAGAGGGTGCAGCAGAAAGGTGTGTCCTGAAGGTGACAATTTCAGTTGTGGTGTGTGCAACACCAAAGAAGTAGTTCTAAGGTGAGAACGTTTCCTTTTTCAGTTTTTTAAACTAACAACCACATAGCATTTACAAAAAACTTTTCACATTTCAGGTACAAAATTAATGTTAGGGTGATGGATGAGACAGGTCATGCTTCTTTTGTATTTTGGGACAAAGAATGCTTTACTTTGGTTGAAAAAACTGCAAGTACTCTTCATGAGGAGATTGAACAGGTTTTCTGGACGAAACATAAAGTATTTATTGCTTACACATCTAATAGATCTATATATATTAATAAGTTTAAAAAATGGTGGATTGTACAGAAAAATGTTGGACCGTATTATTTTCCAGTCGAGATTGATGCTATGGTTGAAACTAAGGGATTGTTTCGAGTGCAAACAAAGAAGGAAAACAAATACTACAAGGGTGTTCCTACATTTAGTGTAATTGGAATGAATTGTGATCCAACTGTTATCGCTTTATACAAGTATAAAGGAAAAGCAGTTGAGGAAGAAGATGATGCAGTTGAGGAAGAAGATGATTTCACACTACTTAGGAAGGAGTTTTCTGTGTCTGAAGAAGTATGTGTACTTATCATTTTACCTGTTTGGTTTACCTTTGTGTTTAAAATTAGATATTTAAATTCGATACTGATTTCAGGTCCCCATACCTGATGACGAGGAGACCAGCCCCCTACTGTCAAAAGAAAAAAGGAAGGAACTTGTGGTGAACTACGACGGCATCAAAAGGAAGCTGTTTGTTGAGCCCCCGCCTGTCAAGCCACCAAAGAAGCTGAAGAAGGTGAAAATGGAAAAGGAGTAACGATGTTTGAACAATGAAGAACTTTTTGCTAATGAAGAACTTCAAGAACAATGAAGAACTTTTTGCTAAGATGATGCATATCATGTATGCAGTATTTTCTATGTTTTTCTGTTAGTGCATTAGCATTTCAGAAAAATGTTTGCTGCCTGGAATAACTTAGGGATAAGTTTAGGTTATGTTACAAACTTTTGGAGTGGATTATTTTCTAGATAATCTATTTTGATCCTAAGTTTGTAATTTTTGGCATTTGTTGCCAAGTGTGATGTAACCTATTCGGAATGTATTGATATGTTAATTATGTTCTATTTCCAGATTCTAAGATTCTTGGCTTTATATATTACAGCTAAACCAAACTTCATGACTAGCTACATTAAACATGTAAAAATATTTGATGACTGCATGTATGCAACAAAGTATAGAGACAAGTTGGATTAAATATAAGCATTATAAATTTAAAATAAAAAGTTATATAATAGCTATCAGGAAAACATTAGGCATTTGACCCTTTTAGCTTCAAGTCCATGTTAAAGTGAGCTACACAATGCTTTTAATATAATTATTCTCTTGACATCCACAATATATATATATATATATATATATATATATATATATATATATATATATATATATATATATATATATACACACCATCTCAATAAATGCAATTGCATTGAATAAATACCACAAAATAAAGGAATGGATTTGCGTAAGTGATTTCTGTGGTCAATATTCATCAACTATGCATGGGTGCATCACAAACTTTTGTACCATCGAAATTCATCAAGAAGTAAATTTACAAATTTGTATTCATACCTCGGTATCATGAATGGTGGGATGATTCAAAACCATACTCTGTAAAATTATACATTAAGCTTCCTATCATAAAATATAAAACAAAGTAGAATTCAAATTGTATAAGCATACATTGGATAGCCATATATGCATTAAGCCCGTCACTAATATATTTTACGTAGATAAAGTGCATAATTGCATAATTATACATATATATATAAGAGATATAATTTTATCCGTTTGAGATACGTTATGTGGAAATATAACACATAGTAGTCTAAATTTATTTTGAATTCGGTGAAGGACATTTGTTAACTTTAAATAATTTTTAGAATGTATAATATGTTTCATAATTAGCCTTATTATGAAGGAGAGGCTTTAACAGTATAATCATGATAACCCTAATATGATTTCATAATTAGATTATGATTAATATTTAATTTTAAAAATAAATAAATATTAATAGTAATTAATATTATTTAAATTATTTTTAGTAATATTATTATATTTAATAAAAATATTTAATAATTTATAATATTTAAAATATAAATATAAATATATAAATAATAATTACATAATATTAGATTTTAATTGAATATCGATGTTATGAATAATATTAATAATAATTAATAGTATTAATAATTAATAATATTAAATTATTATTAATACTTAGTTACGAATAAATAAATATTAATAACAATTAATATTACTTAATGATTATTAATATTTAACAAGTCCTTATGAAGGAGAGGCTTTATAAATTCAAATATGTGTCATATTTGGCCTCATGAGTATAACTAATAATTAATAATAATTACAATAATAATAATGATTAATTATTATTTAAGTATAAAAAAATAAAAAATTAATATTAAAAAAAAATTCTTTTTTAAGAAGAATTTTTTTTTTGTATGATAATAATTAATTATTATTTAAGTATAAAAAGAATAATAAATCAATATTTTTTTATTTTTATTAAAAAATAAAAAATAAAAATGTTAATTACTGGAGTATTACTTAATTAATATTAATATTAAACAGTATTAATACTTAAATTTATATTCATTAAAAAAATTAAAAAATTAATTTTTTTGTTATAAGTATATTATATGTTATTAGTAATATCTAAAATATTAAAAATAATTAATTATTTTTCCTGAGAATTATATTTTTCTTCTTCATAATTGACCTTATGAAGGAGTAATATTCAATTGTTATTAATTTTGAATGGTTATTACTATAAATAATATTAAATATCTTCTGTTTGTATTATTGAATAATATTATTTATTATTCACATACTCCGTATTATTAATTAAAAGTACATTGAAAGAACTATTATTATCATTGTTTAATTAGGTATTTATAATTTAAAAAATGAAGTCCTTAAAATTTATTATTAATATTAATACTATTAATATATCTCTATTTGTAAAATAGAGATTTATTTTTGAAATATATTTGGTACATTTTGGATTTACGTTTTATATTTTAAACGTATGATAAAAACTAAAAAATCAAATGTGTCTTAAAATGGTATACAACTAAGGTATCCGGTTTACTGTTTGGTTAGATTTGGAAAAGCAGTTTTTGAGTTGTCATTATGAAAAGTCATCTTTTATAATCTTACTTTACCGATGGGGTTGTGTGAAAAAGCAGTAAGCATGCTAAAAGAGTACTCATTACCTGCTGTGTTTGTGTAAATATAATTATCTAAAAAACTGACACCAATTTAAAATGGTTTAGGAGTGTATAATGTATATATACGACCAGTGTATACAATATTTGTGATATTAGTTAAATGTCAGTAATATGCATATTTTTTAATATAGGACCAGGTACACTTCATTCAAACTCATATACTAAATGAAAAGATAATTAATTGCCAAATGGTTTATACTAATTTTTTATAGTCTCCTTATACTGATAATAAATAGTAAATGTGATTAAATCGAAATAGCTCAAAAAGCATTCAGTATACATACAATTCAATGAAGTTACGTTCTGAATATATGATTTACATGATACTATTCATTTTATATGACCATATATAGTTTAGGGAGTAATAAAAAATATACGAGTAATATATAAGTGGAAAAGACTTTTTGGCAAAAGATATGACAAGTAGCGAAAGGATGTCACTATTATACAATGAGCCGTTTTTGCAGAAGTCTGACATGACATGTAACCTTTTGGGTTCTATTTACTTAATCAGAACGTGTGCAAATACATGCTCTAATATCATTGGTCCCAAGGAGCCCTCATGTCAAGTACACAACTACAAAAAATTATACGAAGTATAAAGTACTCAGTATAATAATCCGTATATCTGTAACACTTTTAGATTATGTGCAAATAGACAACCAATGAGAAAATAGACAGCCGATAAGAAAAGTACAATAATTACATTGTGTTAGCCATTGAGTTTGATTTGACTCAGAAAACCCCTTTCAACACATGTGATATGACATGTTAAAAAAGTGATTTTACTTTTAAAAAGAGAGCCGTCTTAGCACGAAAGATCAAATTTGACATGTGAGGGTGTGGTCTCAATTTACTTGGAATAGTGACACATACGGAGTAGAGAAGATTCTACTATAAATAAAGCATTTACCCTCTCACATTGTCATGCCTTGCAGATCAGTTGATAGCCATACCAAAGAAGTATTGCTTTGAAGTTTGTTGTGTACCTTCATCAGGTGAATTTTGTAGAAAAATTTATGACTATTTATTATTGATCACAAGTGCATCTAATGATAACTAACTTTTGGTTAAACTTTTTTCCTGGAACATTAACTTAAATAAATGTCACCTACTACTTTGTTTGAAAATATAACAAATAACACATACATACGCAATTTCTATCCAACTAAATATCCCTTTTTCCTGAAATTTCAAGTTCTAACAGATGGGAACAACAAATGCATATTTATTTTGTGGTGTTTGTGGAAGCCGTGAATGGGGACACCTGATCATCAAGTGTGCAGTGTGCTCAAATGCAGAACATCGGTACTGTATGAGGAAGGTCCTATTTCATGATGATGCATGGCTGTGTGATGAGTGTTTAAGTTATATTTATCCCATGGATGAACTGAATTCCTTTGAGATAATAACCGAAATTAAGCATGAAGTTGTTCAAATGGAGGATGATCAACCATTTATACCTCATGTTAAAGAAGAGGTTGTTGAAATGGTTGATGTCCAGCCATTTAGAACTAAGGTTAAAGAGGAAGTTGAAATGGCAGATATTGAGCCATTAACAACTCCTTTTGGAGTAGAGATGGTTGGAATGGCTGTTACCAATCCTGTGCCTGAAGAGCTCATCCAGGACTTATTTGGGATGTCAGTAAGCCCACCGACTCCTAGGCGTTCTCCCCGTAAGAAAAAGCTTAACCAAAAGTATTTTTCCCAGGAGATGGTGGTAAATATGAACTTTAATTGGCTGACTGGGGAGAACGAAGATTGATCTCAAGGGCATAATGAACTGAAATATCTACTACTCTTAGTTTTTTGATAAGGCGTGTTTCTGAAACAGCCTGTGCGTAGCTTATGTTTTGGAATAAGTTAAAGGGTGTGGCTTTTAATGTCTTTTGTGAATTTTCAGAACCCATTTCATGTATCATGTTTTGAAAATCTATGTATGATGAGCCCTGAAGCTCCTGTTAAGTATTGTTGTTGATTAATGCATGTATTTGTAATATTTGTGTATTCCAAAAGTTGATGTGTTACTTCATTCCTATGTGGCAAATTCCAGATAAAGAGAAACACGTGTCAAGGTCAAGTCCGTAACTATGCCTAAGCTCATTAAATCCACAACAGTAGGTCCAAAGAGAAGGCCTGTGTCAAACAATGCTTCCGGTAAATCTAATTTTACTGCTTGGTTGTAAATGAAGTATCAGTAACTCATATATATTCAATCAGATTTTGAAAACGAGTGTAAAAAATATCATAGTATAGGATTATGCTTGTGACAGGAAATATTAACTGATATTTGGTATGTCTGTCGGTGTGTATTAAGTATAACTGATATAGTTAGGTGTAACATCTCAATGTACTTTAAGATAATGTATGTATTTTAGATAGAGAATACTTTGGCTTTACAATTTAAAATATAGAGTGGACAATGTTTTTTAGGGACAACACTAATAATAAAAAGAAGGTGAAAGAACAAGGCTTTGTAGCAGTAATAATAATATAAACCAAGGTGAAGGATCAATGTTACTACCCAATTAAAGAGTATCCTAGATTGCTCTCATTTGTTGTTGATGATGATAAGAGTAAAACTAGGGAAGAATTTACCCAATAGGCAGCACTTCATTTCTGGTGTTAACTGGAACAACACTTCATAAGTCTCAAATTTGATCACCTAAAAAACCAAGAGTAAGTACCGAAATAACCATTTCTGTTGGGAGTATTTGTTAAGGTCTCCTGATCACAAGTTAGTGGAATTGATTATATAGATAGCAGATTACCAGAAATGCCCACAACAGATATGAATCATAGTATATAAAACATACCGCA